GGGGGGGGGGGAGATCCACGGCGGGGGGTCATGATATCTCCACCTAGGTTTCACGGCGCCTCTTCTTAGGTCATCACGTCTGGCCCGTCCTCCCCCCCCCCCCCCCCCGGGGCCGCGCACATGCTGCCAGCCCTGGTTTGCGCGCCCCCCCCCCTCTGAAGCCCCCTCTTGGCCGCCCCCGACAGATCGGGGCGCAAGTCGAAGATCCGGGGGAGGCCCGCGTCGGCGGAGGTGGGCGGTCGGGACCCGCGGGCGGCGCTGTTGCCGTGGATTCCGTCACTGCTGCCTGCCCCGCCCGCCCGCCGCGGGTACCACTGGGGCAGCGTCGCCTGCCGTGGCATCCGCGCCAGGAGCTCCCCCAGGGGCCACCTCCTTCCCTCCTCTCCCCCCCCTCTCTGCCTCGCCAGCTCCTCGCCCTCCTCGCTCCCCCTCCTAGTTTTGGCGAAGCGGCCTTCCGAGAGACGGACCGCGCTTTGGACAGAATTAGAAGTAGAGACGGACCACGCTTTTGACAGAATTGGAATTCGAATTAGAAGTCCCTCCCTCCCCCTCGCTCCTGGCCCTTCCCGGAAGGGGGGCCCGGGGGGCAGCGGGAAAAGGCGGGTGCGGCGAGGCCCCCGGCGGGCCTTGGGCCGAGGAGGGTTCGCGGCAGGAGAGCGGCCCCGGGCCGGGGGAGAGAGTGCCCGCAGGGCGCCGCAGGAGGAGGGAGGGGCCCGGCCCTCGGAGGGAGGGCGAGGCGCTACCGCTCCGAGGAGGAGGAGGTGCCCATGCTTGGGTGCCTCTTGGGGCCCTCTTGGGGCCTCTTGGGGCGCTCTGTGGGCGCTCTTGGGAGCATCTTGGGAACCCTGGATAGCCTCGCATCTTGGAGACGGTCGGTCAAGAGAGGGGGGGGGTATATACTCGGCGTGCGTCCCCCCGTGAGGTGTGGCAAAACACGGCACGACCTAAGGCCGAAAGGGGAGCCTTGCGCCCGTGTTCCCCTTGTCTGGGCCTCCTGGGAGGCCATCGTCGCCAACGCCGGATGCGCGGCGAGGTTCTGGCCAGAACGCACTATTGGTACCTTTTGGTCTCCCCAGTCGCCTTGCCCCTTGGCGTCGCTCGGAGTTGTGCATGTTTTTTCTCGGCGAGGACCATCGAGGAGCATCCTGTATCGTGCAGCACAGAAAAGCGCACGCACGAAGCTGGACAATTCACGGGGAATGGGCGTCCGAGCGATGGCAAGATGTGCTACGCTTGGTCTAAAAGTTGTTATTTGTTTGTTCGGACCCGCGTAGTGTCCTTCTGCGCCCCACCCGACGTCCTGGGGTTGTTTCCAGTCGCGGGCCCGAGAGCTTTGGCCACCTGCCTGGGACTTCACAACGGAGACGCGTGCCGAGAAACACCCTGTTCGCCTCCAGGGTGCCCTGGGTGTTCTTGGGTCTCGATGGTTTTGAGATGGAAGACGTGACGTTCCAACACCCAAAAACAACGAACTTCCTGGGGTCTCAGGGCTGGGTCTCTTGCGGGAGGTGTCTCTTGGACTGACCTCCGCTGCACGTTCGCCCCAGGCCGCTCTTCCGGCGGTCTCCTCCAGGGCCCGAGCGTTCTGGTGGCGGTCTTCCCCAGGTCCCGAGAGTGGCCCCCGGGAGGGCAGGGGTCAGGAAGGGGGAAAAAATACAGACACAATGAATCGTCGATCCCCAGGAAAATAGGGGAAGGTGTGGGGGAAGACAAGAACCCAGAAAATACAGGAAAATATTGGGAATCCTATGATCTGTGTGTATTTGTTCGTGTGTCCCAGGGCCCCTTGAAGGGGCCCGGGGTGGTCTCCTCCAAGGCGCGCGGGCCAGAGGCACAACGATCTACCTGACAGAATCATGGTGCGATTGGCACCACCCACCAGACCACCCCAACCCAACCCGAAGGCCTCGATTTGCCCTCCATTTCCAGGGGGGGGGGGGGGTCGGGGAACATCGAGAAAACACAGATGGAACCCGTACCCCCCTCCCCCAAACCCGAAATTCGGGTCTTCGGGTTGGGTTGGGGTGGCCTGGTAGGTAGTGAGATTGGGCGACGAAGGAGAGCATCCCACTGCGCCGACGTTGGCGCGCGAGCTCCCCGCGTGAGGTCGGGCGTGAGCGCCCCCGCCTTCCATGTGGCGTGCCGCGCTGGCGGCCCGCGTGAGCCACCGCGCAAGGTCGCTGCGCCATCTCGCGCAAGACCCATGTACTTGGCATCGCTCGGACGTGTGCATTTTTCTCTCGGCGAGGACCATCGGGGAGCATCCTTGATCATTTGGCGAAAAAGCCACGCGCGAAACCGAAAAAAACACAGGGAATGGACGTCCGAGCGATGGCGAGGAGGCACAGCGATCTACCTGACGAAATCATGGCGCGATTGGGCGACGAAGGAGAGCATCCAACTGCGCCGACGTCGGCGCGCGCGAGCTCCCCGCGTAAAAGGTCGGGCGTGAGCGCCCCCGCCTTCCGTGCGGCGTGCCGCGGGTTGGCGGCCCGCGCGAGCCACCGCGCAAGGTTCGGGAGGAGAAAAAACACACAGACAGAATTCATCGTCGATTCCCAAGAAAGTATGGGAAAATATGGGAATTGGGGGGGAAGACAGAAACCCAGAAAATATGTGAGAATGTGGGAACTCTTTTTGTTTGTGTGTATTTATCTGTGTGTCCTGGGGCCCCTTCATCGCCTCGAACGTATCCCTATCCCTAAGATTGACACGCCAAAAGGCGATGACAATCTTAGGGATTCGCCCTCAAGAAATCAGGGAATCCCCAAGATTGGCATCGTGATGAGGAGGTGCCCAGCATAGGGATAGGGATATGTTCCAGGCTGGTAAGCTGTGCCATCTCGCGCAAGACCCATGTATGATCGTCGCTCCATTGAGGCCTGGCAAGGCATTTCCAGCCAAGACACTGAACACAAGGGCCACGTTGGGTTCAGGAGGGGGCGTCGTGGTCGGGCTGCTCCTCGGATCCTGGTCGGCGGACCGACTCGCGGCCGACTCCCGCCGCAGCTGGAGGAGCCCCATTGGCTCCTCAGAGGACGTTCTCTCTGGTGGTGCCATGCGTTATGGTGTGGTGTTTGTGGTGTCTCCTCGTGTTTCTCGGCGTCGGCAGGTTCGCGCCGCTTTGACGCGGCGGCGCCGCTGGCGCATGCGTTCAAAAGTGAACGCCATCGTGGAGCCTGCTTCGGAGTCCCTGGACCAGCATAAAGTAGCCTGCGAAGCGAAATCCATAATGACAATCGTGGCGGGGGCCCTTTCATGGAATTCCGAGGACGGGGGTCCTTCGTTCACACGTTGTCAAAAACCAGGGCCGACGTCGTCGTGGAACGAACTTGTTGTATGTGGTATGGTAGGCCGCACGGAAAGCATGCGTGGTTAGGCACATTTGTCATCGGATGAAGTGCACAGATACTCTCATTGTCTTGGCTCCGTCCTCTTCGAACTCCAATCTTAATTTGTTGTGGAAAAATTCTGCGGGCCTGGACAATGTGGGCCGTATGGCATCGCAACGTGCGGAAGTATGGCACTTAGTGTGCATTCTTTGTCACGAGCACTACTGCGAAAGCCCATGCGGTTTTGAACGTGTTGGAGTTATTGTGCAGGATTGAGGCGTCGCACCACTGCTGAAAGGACGTCGTGAGTTCTGAAAGTTGCAAAGTTTAGAACGAGACTGCATGAACCTACAGGCGGACTCTCAAATTCCATAGTTGTCCCACTATTGCGCGTTTTTGCTCACACCTTTCTGCGTCCCACTGGCGTGTAGTCCTTTCATCAGA